TGCGGAAAAAATTATTTAGTCCTGTAATACTGTGCAGAAGACTTCTTCTTAGTAAATTACTGGAATCTTATAATAAATGCAGAATATTACTCTCCTTTTGCCATAGATTCTTGTCTGTGTGCAAGCTCTGATGAAGCAGTTGAGTCTGGTTTTAGCATTTTACCATAGATCAAATAACATTTTTTTTGTACCTTTTCATTGTTGCTTATCTGTTAGCAGAAAGCATTATGCTACCTTTTGTCATTTAAGAATGCATATTATGTCTTAAGAGTAAAATTAAATCCTGTTCCTGTGCCTCCTTTCTTTTACGTACAACTGTTATTCTCAGCTGCTGCCTCTTGCCTTCACTTAAGTTTCCCATTTGTTCTATGAGCTTTATGAGAGAATTTCTAACAGGTCTTTAGAGAATCTTGGCTGATGACTGAAAAAGTGGTTAAAAGTTTCAAAGACCATTTATTACCTTATTTCTGACAAGACGAGTCACTATCTAAACCTACACGTTCATCACTGTCTTTAGGCATTTTTTTTGTACTAATCATAGAATCATAGAATCGTCTGGTTGGAAAAGACCTTCAAGATCATCGAGTCCAGCCATTCACCCTGCACTGTCAGGGTCCCTAAACCATGTTGCTCAGCACCAAATCCACACGGTTTTTAAACACCTCCAGGGATGGGGACTCCACCGCCTCCCTGGGCAGCCTGTTCCAATACTTCACAACCCTCTCTGTAAAGAAATTCTTCCTGATATCTAACCTAAATTTCCCCTGGCGTAACGTGAGGCCATTCCCTCTCATCCTGTCATTCGTAACGTGGGAGAAGAGACTGACCCCCATCTCCCTACAACTTCCTTTCAGGTAATTGTAGAAAGTGATAAGGTCCCCCCTGAGCCTCCTCCAGACTAAACAGTCCCAGCTCCCTCAGCCGCTCCTCATAGGACAAGTTTTGTTGCCCTTCTCTGAACCCGCTTCAGCACCTCAACGTCCTTCTTCAAGTGAGGGGCCCAAAACTGGACACAGTACTCAAGGTGTGGCCTCACCAGTGCTGAGTATAGGGGGAAATTTCCCTACTTCCCTGCGTTAGTATGGAGCAGGACTGCCAGAGATGCTTGGCGTTGAGCATGTCACCGCTTGGAGCATGGAAGGCTGAAACGAGATACCATGTGCCATTGTTCAGGGGTTTACTTGAAATTTGATTCATCTGTAGTTCAAGAGACCTTAAAATTAAGCAGCGTCTACTCTATCAATAGGTAATAAATA